CCATCGCGTCAGCGCGAGCAGCTGTTCAACTTCCGATGAGTGCGCAGCGGTAAGCGCGATGCAACGGGCACAGCTCAAATGTGGGAGCGCGAGGGCGACAAGTGTCGCTAACAGTGGGTGGCCCATCGCAGCTGCGGTGGCCAGTCTGGCTTCTGCACTGCTGCGGGTGCGGTCCATACCCCGTTGTTCCTGGATCTTACCGTGACCCTTATGAAAGCCGGCCCGGAGAGTGGTAAGTTGACTGAAAACGGCCATCGAGGCGATCGGAGATGGAATTGGACATCAACACTACATGGAAGCAGTAATGGCGGCAGTTTAGGTCTTGGGAAGCCTCCATTATCTGCACTGGGACTAGACAGCGTCCAGCACAGATGACCACGAGTCACGCCGCACTGCTGAGCGCGGCGCCACGCTCCGTCCGCCGGGTCAACAGGCGACGGCGCCACGCCGGGGCCGGCCACACTGGGGATGCAGCAGCAGGCGGTCTGACAGCAGGACCGCCTCCGTCTCTGCCGCGCGCCTGATCCGCGTCTGCAGTCGACTTTGCCGGATCTGGCGGCTCGTGCAGCCACGCCACGGCAGAGTTTGGGCGGGCGAACTGAACGAATGAATGACACCCAAACACGGGCTCCCGGATAAAAAAGCCACAAAACAGCTGGGCTCCACCGAACGGACGCCACGCGACGACGGCCGGGCCCGTGCCCGCCGACACGCGCCATGCTAGCCCTCCGAACTGTGGCGGAATGCTGGCTGTGCGAGCTCGCCAACGGTGCAAAGCGCGGCCCATGACAGACCTGGGAGGATCAGTGATCTGCGGTGCGGGGGCCATGCTCCTGACAGACCCCTGACAGTCACGCGATCGGGTGTGCCTGTGATAGTTTCGCGGTCTGCATTGAGAGGTGAACAGTAACGAACATAAACGTGGAAATAGACGTAGTCCATCGACTGTCGTAGGCGTACATGCACAAGGTCTACAGCCCCCGACGGGCCTGTCGCGAATCTGCAGCCTGGCAGTGCTGTGACAGCTGCGTTCACCACAGCGAGGACCCTGAGCCCCTGACAGCCCCGTGACAGCTGCGTTCACCACAGCGAGGGTCCTGAGCCTCTGGCAGCCCCGTGGCAGCCGCGCTCACGACAGCGAGGGGGCCTGAACCCCTGACAGCCCCGTGACAGCCGCGTTGACCGCAGCGAGGGATCCTGAACCCCTGACAGCCCTGTGACAGCCACGATCCACGGTGCAGGAGCCGTGCCGCCCCATGACCGGTCAGGAACGGTCGCGCGCCGCACAGCGCAGAAGCGGGGCTCCTGCCGGGCCAGCGGACGCCGGGCCGGTGGCAGGGCAGCGCCAGGGCAAGCGTCGCGTCAGCCCCGGACAGGCGCTGTAAGAACAAGCACAAAGCCCGGACAACAATGCCGGCATCTTGGGCCACTTGACAATGCTGGGCGTCCGTTGAACAGGGCGGAAATTAAACAATCGGGACTGGGCGACCGTCAGGTGCGCCGACGTGACGTCACGCACAAAATGGCCGCCGCCCTGTGTTCGGGAGGCTAATAAGCTCCAATCCGCGTCCCCGCGCAGTCATAACGATCCCCCGCGACCGGGGCCCCATTGTGTTTGTGGGAGTGAATGTTTTGGAGGACCTTCGGAGTGCCAGACGCCTGGCGCGCTGGGTTCAGAGGCCGGGTCGGCCGCCAGAGGCCGGGTCGTTGCCCGCCTGCCCGCCAGCTACTCGGCCAGCCCGGCGCTGCACGCGGGATACAGCTCACAGCCTTACGCCGCACGGGGGAATGGTGCATCTTCTAGCAGGTCAGGCTGACTTCAGGCTGGCAAAAGACCTCACACATTGTTCTCTTCTCATTAACGCGTGCCGTCGATCATGGAAATGGCAATGCGACACGGTCTTTTTTAAAAACATGCTACATATTTTCAAACTTGTGTTTGTTCCAAAAAACGGGTAAATCCAAGTGCTAAAAGTGCAATGACAGCAACATTTTTCTGGGTATTGACTTTTCTGCTGAACCATCACGCTGCTCTCCACCTCTGAGTTGCCAGAAAACTAGCTCATTTACAGCATCATATGTGCAAAACTAAGATATTTGTATGGTCGTATATGCATATACACATACATGTAAACACGCACACACACACATACACACACACACATATATACATATGTATATACATATATATATATATATATATATATATATATATATATATATATATATATATATATATGTGTATATATATACATATATATATATATATATATATATATATATATATATATATATATATATATATATATATATATATATGTGTGTGTGTGTGTGTGTGTGTGTGTGTGTGTGTGTGTGTGTGTGTGTGTGTGTGTGTGTGAGTGTGTGTGTGTGTGTGTGTGTGTGTGTGTGTGTGTGTGTGTGTGTGTGTGTGTGTGTGTGTGTAGTGTATATTAATGTACTAATTTTCGAAAATAAATATTGAAAACTGCCTGCGTTCCTACGTTTCTAATTTCCAAGATAGTGAGTTTCGTTAGCAGTGATATATATGTAATAGCGATCTGACTTACAGCTGCAATAAATGCGTAAGAATGCACTCCATTTTAGGAAGGGCACCTGCACACTCCTGTTAAGTTCCCTTCCAATCCTAAATGGTGTAGATAATTCTTAAGAGGGTAAATGAAGACGTTACGTTTGTAGCTTTTTCGCGATAACGCCTCGTGCGGATGATTAAGGCTGAGCATTGTCCAAAGACACATCATGGGTGTTTGACATACCATGATAATGAGATATCGTTTGAAGTTTAAACATAAGGCTGGATGAAAAAAACGAACGATGTAAATATGATGCTGATCGCCATTGCGTTACAGCACAAGCCAATCTAGAGTAATCGGTGTCTATCAAAATACTTGACCTCAGCCGGCTTTTGGCTGATCGATGCTGGAATTTGCTGGAACTGATCCGGCTTCCAGTTCCATAGTCACGTGACGTCATAAAACATCATACAACCGACCTAGAAGTCAATGACTTCACCGACACTGGATACACTTGCTTTCGGTAACGGGCGCTGGCGTGAGATGGGATGGCGTCTCGCTGTCTGAAAGGGTCAAATCTAGTGTCGTTTGAATTAATGTTATAAGCCAGCCACCATTCCCTTGTGATGCCTCAGCTCAGTGAAGTTAAACACCCAGTAGAGTCGCCTCCGTTCTCTCCGTGGCTCTTCCTCCGTCTCCTCCTCGTCCCTCCCCACTCACTCCCCTCCCCGCTGAAACCCTGTTACGCTGCGGCTCCCCAACAGCTTATTTGCATGGAGGCCACGAGTAAGGACCGAAGAGACGCTATTGGCTGCCCGCCTGCAGCGGCAGATAATTAGCGAAGACGTTTGGCGCGCACCGGGCCGTCGTCATGGCAACAGTTATCGATTATGCTCTTGTACGCGCACACGGAGGGTCGGACGCTAACAGGGGCCGTCGGCGCGGCTGTCCGTCGTGCCGAGAAAACACGACAGCGGGCAGCCGCCATACAGATGTGGACAAATGCGGCGGCGGCAGGCGCGTGGCGTGTTTTCAGGCGTGGACCGGGCGGATGACCCGTCTGACAACACTGAACGGGCCAGCTAGGCCTAGTTTTACGGGTCTGCCGGGGCTCTCCGGTACGAATGAGAGCCCTGTCTTCGTGTTCTGCCTGTAGTGTGGAGGTTGACACTTCCTCCGCAGTGACAACAGATGGACGGTGCTCGTTGCATTGAGCTCGTGCAAGCATACATCTTCAAAGCTGGACAGAGGTCGTTTATTTGGAAGCTGTAAGCCGTATGAAAACTCTAGCTGACCCATTTAAGTATTCGAGAAGGGAGACCGCACAAAATAGTTCTTGAAACAGGGCTTATTTACAAGTCCCCAAATAAATCAGGAGGCTAAGCATTGAAAATGACGAAAACAACCCAAAAAATATAGCACCAAACAGTTTCCCTCCGCATTTAACCAACTTCGTTCTCAAAGTAGGGGGACTGCCCCCCCCCCCCCCTCAACCGAACAGGAACTACACTTCTGACTCAAGATGCCCTTCATAAATATACACCACTTAGGATTTCCACGACGAATCGACTGAGCCTCGCGGCTCGCGAGATTCTCAATAGGCCTACACCCTGAACATAAATGGAAGAACGTTTCTCGGCCGGAACTATCTCTCTCCCTTCCCCTTTGATCTGCTGTCACGTAATGCTGAATTCCCATGTGCTGATCGCATTGCTGGCGGTCGCGTGCTCAACACCCGGCCGCCCCGCCAAACCTCATTTTCGCTAATCACCGCAGCCGGTTGGCTCGGCCTGAGCCGGCTGACGGGCCGCGGCTCTGTGCTGCGCTGGCGCGCGGCCGCCCGGCCCGGCTCGCCCCGGGCTGCCGGGGCCGGGCCAGGACGGCGGGCGGCGCCCGCAGCGCCCCTGGCGGCGGAGACGCGCCCCCGCGCCCGGGCCCGCGCGGCGAGCAGCGGAGAGCGGCCCACCACCGTGGCGCCACGAATGAAAAGCAAGACACGCAGCAGAGCAACGGCTGGGAGTAAACATGGGTGCCATTGACATGTGGGGAACACGCCGTCGCTGACAGCAGGACCAAACGGCAGGGAAAAAGCCGAGCCGAATGTTGGCTGGTCTGAATACGACGCACACGCATAAATAACGCTGTTTTTCGTAATGTTTGATGCTCCAGATCAGCACATGGGTTGTTGTGAGTGCAAAGGCGCTCGTGGGAATAGGTCTAATCCACCTAACTGCCACGTTGATTGGTTCATCAGACTGTAAATGCATTTGAACGCATCCACGTAGTAATGAAGAAGGAGCCTTACCACCAACCGCCATTTTGAAAACCGCAGGGGCAGGTCCTCAACTGCGAAAACAGATCACCGACGGCATCACGCCACTGATCCCCCACTTCTGGTCACACTGCACCCGTGCGCGGGCTGCAGGGGCCTCTGGAGGTCAGCCCAGCGCTCCAGGGTTCACCCACCGTGTGCCGCGTTCTGCTCCATACTCCGCAGGTGGTCGAAGCCGGCGAAGGGCGGCGGCTGGGCGGGCAGGAAGCCGGCCGCAGCCGCCGCCGCCTGGTACATCCGCGACGTCGCCATCTGGTTCAAATGGTCGAAGCCGGGCTGCAAAACCGTCAGCACGCGGTCAGAGTCTGTCTGCGGTAACAGGTGTGCGTGGCCAGGGCCCGCCGCAGGAGCAGCGGAGCCAGCAGGGCCTGGCTGGGGAAACATCAGAGGTAAGAGCCGTCGTGTTACAGTAGCCAAGGCTGTTGCCATAAGTCCGAGGAAGGAGATATTGCGTTTGTGTGGTAAAGTCCAGCTGGTGGGAGCGGCAACGTCATCGCGTTCAGATGGTCAAGGCAAACACTTAAGTCCGACTTCAGTGCCCTGCCTCAGAGAACGTCAGGGCTATCATCTGCAAGCGGTCAAAGCCAGGCTGTGGCAACGTAAGAGTCATTGCATTCAGTGGACAAGACGCCTGGATATGAAAACGTGGTATGCGAGAGGCCAAATCATGACCGTGAAACGCACACACCATCTGGTTCTGACATTAACATGCGCCCGGGTGGCCGGTTGAATAACGACCTGTATGTGAACTCACTTGTTTCAAAACTTGAGATTACTTTGTCAAAACCTTCGGTCAAATAAGGTCAGACCAGGCCAAACTCCACATTGGTGTCTCCAGTGCCCCAAGACCCACGCATGCCACCGTCTTGAAACTAGGTACCTGTTCTGAACAAAAGGTCACTGGGTTTCATTTTAGGTCAGTGACCTTTTTTGACTTCCCGAAAGTCAAGGTAAAAAAACTACGAGACAGCTATATTTTTTCACTCTAATAAGCGCCAGAGATTACGCAAGGCGTTATGTATATAAAATAAAATGTTGACGTGGGTCATTTTTGGTAAGTGACCTACTCCGAACTTTAAGAAGTTCATGGAAGATGTCTGTTGCGGTCCCTGTTGTCACTGAGTTCGAAATGAGAACCAGAAACTGCCCATAAAGCAAGGTCACGAGTAAAAAAGCAGGTAAGTTTTGACCTCGATCTGACCTTCAGACCAGTTCCAATGTCAGCGTTGCTTGTTATTGTAAATTAAAATGTTGTATCGCCTTCGAAACTGTCTCGAGATGGATGGCTTCGTTTAATACTGCAATCGTATCAGATTGAACAATTCCCTTAAAATGGCCTTCGCTAACAGCCATGGCCTGGGTTTGACGTGCCATGGGTCAGCGACCTCGCAGGGTAAATCTAAATTTGCATACCAAAAGATCCGCTATGCAAAGTTTGGCATAGCCTTGCTGTGCCACTCGGAAATCATTTTGGAAAACCTTTGAGGGAAGTTTGCCCCTCCACCCGAGCGCGGGCAGAGTTCTACTGTGGGAATTGAAACCGAGGTGTTAAAGTGGCTGGCCAAAGTCTGGTTGACGGGACATCAGAGTTTCAAAGTGCGGGAGAGTCAATGCCATTTTGTGTCGCTGGCTTGCACGAGAGTTTCGTGTTATTAGATGGTAGGTGCTATGATAAATAAAACGCAAATTGAGAGACATTAATAAGGATAAATACAGCAAGACACAGCTTGTTCCGCGTGGAACGAGTAGTATGACGCAAAACATGACTTTCCCGATCATTATGAATGAAGATGATCTGTCAAAACCTAAGCAAACGTAACAAGACACGTTTCGAATCCATACAAAGGAGTTGATATCTTTCCAAAACTCCGGTTCTTAAATTATCTTAGCAGAAAAAGAGCTCCATTGATACAAAAATTACACGTTAATTCTCAAGCAATTTCGCTTGAATGTTGGCTGGTAGCCTCACCATCGCGGCCAACAGAAACGATGCGTTGGACTCAGTTGTCTCGATTGATTGTGACCAGAGTATTGCCCAATACATAAGCACGGCCGGGTGGACAGTGGCCTACTGTGGTGTCGCTGTGGATCGACCAGCGTTGACCTGGCTGGGTGATGTGTAGACGGCGCGCCCACCTGCCTTGTGTGGGTTATTGCAGTTTTTTGTTGCTCTGGCGGCTGAGATTGACGGTCGTCGTCAGAGATGCCGAAAACGACGGATCCATGATAATGGATTGACGATTCCTTTCCGAATCCATCCGTGCTGTTCCCGTGTCGGTGTGACCCCGGGTTATCGTGTCGCTGTGACCCCGGGTTGTCAGGATTTGGGCAGAGGTTCGACTAAAGTTGCGCAGCCTTTGCGAAATGAGCTCGTTTTCGTTCCCCACGTCAGTTCATTCGGGGACTTACCGTAAAGTCATGCTTAACTGGCCTAGGAAAAAACAAGCCCAGTTTAACAGGTTGCGCGCGGAAAACTTCGACAACAGTGCTGCAAATTCTCTAAAAGTGCGCTGACTGTGGCCTAAAGTCCGCATGACGGAACGACAGTGGTTGTACACGTACAAATACAATGCCGTCAGGAGCGTGACGACTAGACCCGACCAGGCCGCGCCTGGTAACGCTATCTAAACAAATTAACCACAATGTTACAATGCCAAATTCCAAACATCCCGCCATAAAATACTCGAAGGGCTTGACTGTTGATACCTATAACTTCAGCGTTATTGCTTTTAGAATAGTTAGAACAGAAACTACAGCCTTGCAACGTAACCTCATTTAAAGGGATCAAAGAAAATAAGCTTTGTGTGCTTATTACCTACTTGCCGGATGTTCGGGCAAAATGTCGTATATAAGGGAATCGTATGGGGAAAGCTGAAACAAAAAAAAAAAATGGGGAGATTGAAGCCAAAGTTATCAAAATCGAAGGTTGTCAGGCCAAAAATAATCCAAGACCAAGCAAAAACGGCACCAAAGCACAGAATGGCAGAGGACAAGACAGCATAACGTCGACAAGCAAGAGAGCGAAGAGGGAAACTTGCAGGAAACGTAGAAAATCATGTTATTCAAGGATTGCAAATCAAAATGAAAAGTGGCCAAAAGAAAAACATTCAAAAGTGTTGACATTCAAAATGAGAATGACATCGGGCCGGTGGTCACGGATTTACATCGTCGTCTAATGGACACGATCCAAAAGGAGATGAGAGAATCTTCTGTGCCATACAACGTGCAATTGACCCAAAAAAACATGAAATCTGCGAACGGTGCTGATTGACTATCATCTGATGCACGCATGTGCTATTTTTCACTTCCGCGTCATACATACATGCATACATATATATATATATATATATATATATATATATATATATATATGTATGTATGTATGTATGCATATATGCATTTGTATATAGTATATACTGCATATTTTTATATAGTAAGGGTTAGTGACAGTAGGCATATTATAAATAAACTATGCATAACTGATGTAGGAAACAAATGACAACTATTATAAAGGAAAATTTCTTATCTGTGTAAATTCAGAAGCCTGAAATCACCTCCCCGAAGTTGAACGATCACAATCCAATACCAAAGTTTAGTGCGGCTATCTGACGCCGCAGCATGTTTTCGTACATAGCCTTGAAGACGCTCCCCTCCGGTTAAAGCGCATAGGATGTCCTGCCAGGACTGGGTAAGCGTGTCACTTCTCTTCAGGCGTAGGAAGGACACCGGTAGATCCTCCATGGCTGTCGGCCCGACTCTTCGCCGGTCAGCTTCAGCTGTCGGCCCGACTCTTCGCCGGTCAGCTTCAGCTGTCGGCCCGACTCTTCGCCGGTCAGCTTCAGCTGTCGGCCCGACTCTTCGCCGGTCAGCTTCAGCTGTCGGCCCGACTCTTCGCCGGTCAGCTTCAGCTGTCGGCCCGACTCTTTGCCGGTCAGCTTCTCTAAATTTGAACTCCTACTTTGATTAGTTCAATCTTACTCGGCCGTTCTTTTTTTCTAGTTCTATACCTTCTGAGGTTCTGCCGCGTAATGTTTTGTAACTTAAACTTTTAATTGTAATTTAACAAAAAATGTAAATAAAAAAACGATGTGAGAGTCCTTTACACTTTTTCCAGCCATCTCTTTTCCATTTTTACATCTGTCATGTTGACTCTTAGAGGTTCGCATGGAAAATTTTGCAATGGGAACACAATTTTAATATTTTTTACAGATAACTCAGTTTAGCTCACTGCAGGCACACGCACTTTGTTGCATCACGCGAACAACATGACACAGTCTGGACTCATTCATTCTTGTGTAACCAGAATGCTTTAGGGTCAGCATCGATTCGCGCAAAGATCAATTCATTCAACTCATTTGATAATGTGGAAGGCAGGGGAGGGGGTTGGGCGCATGCACTCAGGGACCACGATATGAACACGCCCCAGCCTTCTACCCATTTCGAATTTTTATCCTGTGACGACCCACCGTGAAGTCATAGCGGCCTCCTACGATCATGAGTCATAGTGCATAACTCTACAGTATCTGCCGATGCAACATCACAGCACATAGCAGCTGCTCACAGGCACTTACAGGGCCACGAGCATTGATTCCAAAAACCACATGCCTGCCAAATCAAAATTGTGTTGCCTTGCTAGCACCAAACAACATTTGATGGACCACGGTTGGTCACGTTACATGGTCATCATCATGAACGCGTTTGCTCATGGAATGACGCAGTTTTCAGGGGTTTAGAAGTAAACACGTTTTCTTCTGGCTTGCCATCTTTACCGCCCATAATTTTGCGTTAGACAACATGCTCTATTTTTGCTCGTTGCTTTATGTCATTGTTAAAGCTGGGATGTAATACAGTCTTTAGACAGCCGCAGACATCGGCGGAGAACGCTGAGAGACGCTGGTGTAATTAATGTGTCAGACGGGTCTCACTCGTTGCAAAAAACCATGACAATACTTTGACCCACAACAGGTCAGATTGCGCCCGACCTGCCATACTTTGTTCTGAATTTATGCCCACGGCCTTACTTTGATGCCGAAATAAAGTGAGAACGGCCAGAGAAAATAGCCGCATCCAAGTTGCGTGAGCACCTCCTTCTCAGACTGCCGGATCTTTGGCCACTGAAGACTTAAGTCTTACACCATGCATGATTATATATTTACGTAAGCTGTTAAGTGTTTTTATGGGGAGCATTATGCACGTAGATGAGACAGCATAACAGCCTTATTCCTCGGAGAGAAACCAGGAGAGTGGAGATATAGATGCGTTGATATTTCGGCAACATGTCCTTATCAGAACGAAAAGCAGATGTCTTCTTCTGCTTTTGACTTCTAGTATTCGTTTCGATAAAGGCACGTTGCCGAAATAACAGCTCATATATATCTCCATCCTCCTGGTTTTTCTACGAAGAATAAGGCTATTACTACTGCCTTATCCAACAATATTTTTCCTTAAATCGACCCACCCACGTGCGCTGTTTGGTGAGACCGCCCCCGACAATCCGCTTTACGATTGCGTGTTCATGAGCAATGCAAAACGTGCATATTCGTTGATTTGAAACACTTTCCGGAGCCTCGGAATACGGAGCTGCATTCAACCCGACCCTGATGAACGAAAAAGCACGCATAGCCCTTCCTCTACACCTGGGAGCTGGAACACTTCCGGGACTGGGTGGATCTCTTGAGAGTCCTTTGACATTGGTAACCGAGGCTGATTCATGCATGGACGCTCCCAACAACGGTTGCTGGTGCCAGGATCTCGGTGTGTTTACACCAACTGCTGCTGGTTTGAGGGGTTATGCAACTTCGGCCACCATGATGCATGCGATCATTGAGAGCTGATGCATATATGCGGATGCGGCCTTCTATCCAAGGTCTTCCTTGGAAAGTCCGTCGAAACCAGATCTGCATTCTGTGTCACGCGATCTTCAAAGCGATGAGCCGAAAAACTCGTGAGCTACAGGGCACGCCCGGCAGATGGGCAGGACCGGGGGAGGAAGGAGTAGGCTCCCGACCGCGTCCCACCATGCACGGCACTGCCGCTGCGCGCGCGGGAGCGGGTCTGACAACAGATACAGCAGCATCCTTTCCAGTTGGCCTCATTCTCTTTTTTGTTTGGACAGTTTTGCAGCGCCAAAAACAAAGGCTTCTTTTACGTTGGAATCATTTTATCAAACAGTATACTTGAGTTACCTACGTGAAAAGGAGCTTGATTTTTTATCCTGATTAGCTAATACACTGGCCCGCCAATGTCCGGCGTTTGAAGCCAAAATTTCGCAGGCGAATATCAAACGAAGGCACGAATAAGCGCGGTTGCGCCATCTCGTCCTGGGAGGGCCGAGTTCCGACCGTGGCGCGAAATGCACGAAAACAGCGAACGACCGGCTATGTTTCTAATCGTCGTCGTCTTCAAGCAGGGGCATGTTTCCTCTGACCCTCGTCTCCCTGGATGCGCCAGTGAGAACCAATGCTTGCAAAAATACTTCCATGTTTATTGGACAGATGTGCCGTAGCTTCAAGTCTCTACGTAGTAGGCGTGTAACAATGATTTTCCAGCAAAACGTAGAAGCATATGCAATGAATTCCCTGAAGACGGGGAGATATTTATCGAGAAGGGAAGCCATCTCAGTTTTCTATGAAAACGCATGGAACGCATCCGCCATTTTCTTGATGGCAGGTGAAGCACAAACATAAAGCATATATGCTCAGATGTAGTCTCTTCATCAACCTACCAAGGCAAATTAGCGCTACCTCTGCGCAACACTGACATTCCTCGAAACAGTCAAGAGTTCATGCGAGTGGAGCGCTCCCAAATCAAAACTTCATTGATATTGAGAGGCATTTGACCAGCCGCGCATGACACGTCAGCATTACAAAGGTCACCAGGAGAGCAGAAATTTTCCCTGTTTAAAATACAAACGGACGCTATCCGGCCCTCAGGGCATTCAAGGAAACATGCTACGCATGTTCATAAACACGTGCGGTGCGCGTGAAGCGACTGCCGTCCATATCGGCTGCGGTCCACCCCCGCAGGCCGCGGGAGCCGTCCAGCCGCTCTGTGTCGGCTCAGGCCGCTCTGTGTCGGCTCAGGCCGCTCTGTGCCGGCTCGAGCCGCTTAGTATCGCCTCAGGCCGCTCTGTGTCGGCTCGGGTCGCTCTGGGCCGGCTCGGGCCGCTCTGGGCCGGGTCGTGCCGCTCAGTATCGGCTCGGGTCGCTCTGGGCCGGCTCGGGCCGCTCTGTGTCGGCTCGGACCGCTCTGTGTCGGCTCGGACCGCTCTGTGTCGGCTCGGGCCGCTCTGTGTCGACTCGGGTCGGGATCAGCGGCCCCTGCCGGCCGGCGCGGACCGTCGGCGTCCGGGGAACCCAAGCCAACAACTGGTGGGGCAGGTCTGCCGATGCTCCGATGCTGGGGATGGAGGCATGGCGAGTCCGTGACGAGACTCCGGTTGGTGTTACCACTGGGCGCTGGGACGCAGCGCTCCAGGTCAAGGCGAGAGAAGGGTAGGCGATTAAGTCATCCAGGAGGCTTTAGCCGTTGGTCGGTGAGAGAACGCCCAGGAACCGGAGCGGTGCTCTCAGACCGCAGACTAAGCCTGCGCAGGTGTGCTCTGGGTATGCACGCCAAGCGGCTCGGAAGCCACCTCAGAGAGGAGCCGGCTCAGTTGTGGGGATCTCGGGGCGCGGTGCGACTGGGCGGAGCCGGCGACAGCTGCGGCGCCGGCCGGCCGGCCCAGCCGCTCCCAGCTGGCGCCGCATGCCGACGCTGCACTTGCTGTCAGAGCACTCGCCAACGCTGCAGCGTGACAGAGGGTGTGACAATCTGGTGCAAGTCAGGTTATTGGTATGGCACTGGACGCTGCTTCTACTGCTGGTTAGCGCTGAAAAAAAAAACAAACAGCAACGACGAGCGAATGCCAGGATGATTCAGCGGGAGGAAAATGCTATCGCACCGGGAGAGCGCACGGATCTTCCGTGAGTGGGCGGCAAGAGTAGTATAAGTCCACTCCTAGCTGCACGATTATGAGTGATGGCTGCTACACTCCTCCGAAATCAATGGTTTTCATGCTTTGCCGTGCCGCGCATTTGCCGAATTTGTCAGCCTTAACTGCATGATTCGGACATGCTGGCACCGAGGGGGGGGGGGGGGGTGCAACAGCACGCGCCTCGCTGGTGCGTGCTTCAACCCGACCGCGCGCTCGCAGTCTGCCGGTGTTCGAGCCTGCTCGCACCTAAGCCGGTACCCATGCCGTTTTCAACAGGCATAAATTTGTGGGGGGTAGAGCCTGAGTATTGGGGACGCCTCCGGCAGCCTGTTCGGCACCAGCGGTCTCGTAATAAGCTGCTCATTGCGGCGAACAGCTGGTCTGTGGGCTGCCGACGAGACCAGGATAGCTGAGACCTAACTGTGATCCAGCCAGCGTGAATCCAGGTGGCTTGCACTACCGAGCCAGACTTAGGTTGACACACACGGCAGGGCAGAACACCAGATCAGCCAGGACAGGACAAAGTGCGGGACATCCTTGAGCGTACGATTCAGCATCACTGGCATGAAAACGGCGGCCATCACAAGCACAGTCTGGCGGCTTCGCCATTCTGTCCGGTGATCCACCAGACCGTTAACCCCGGCGTCAGGGGCAGACGCCCCCTAGACCAGACCGTCGCCAGGGACACCCCTGGCCGAGATCACCGTGACCTACAGCTGCTGACCTGCGCGAAGAGCGGCGGCCGACTGTAGGGCACCGAGTGCGGCGGCATGACGGTGCCGGCCGACGCGCCGCGCTGCTCCTGGTTCAGACCGAGCAGCTCCTGGATGGCGAACGGCGAGCGCTGCGCCGGCACCGACACGCCGTGGCCGCCGCCGTGGCTGCCGAGCCCTGCCGGCGGCATGGCCAGGCCGCGCTCCGGGTGCATCACGTTCATCATGCCCGGCCGCGGCGCCACCAATGGCGCCGGCGCCGCGCCGCCGCCGACGGCGCGCCGCGACTGACGCTCGGCTCGGCGCCGCGGCGGCCGCTCCGCCCGGCTCCTGTCGGCTCCGGCTCCGGCCGGCTCCCGCTCACGGCACGCGGCGGCGGACGCGGGAGCGCGCGACGTCCGGTGGGGCGCGACGATGCGCTGTTCGCATGCGGCGTCGGAGCGCGGCGCGAGAGTAATTGCCACTTGCGCACCGACCGCGGCCGAAGCCAGCTGTAAATCTGGCCTGAGCGCCGGCGGACGCTCATACACCGCCCATTAGCGGCCGACCGGGCGGCACGGCCGACGCCCCGCCCCCCGCCGACCTCCAGCCAATCAGCGCGCGGCGGCGCCGGTCGACGGACGGCCCCGTAATTGGCTTGTTAGGGGGCGGAGAAAGCGAGCCGGGTCGAAATTGCTCCGCCAGGGGGCCGCACTCGGCCCGCAGGCCGGGTAATGAGTGTCAGCCTGACTCGCGCCGACCAGCCCTGTCTGCACGTGCCCGACACGGCGGCCCGGCCGGCAGAGCGCTGAAGGCTACCCTCGACCGGCGGTCGACACCCTTGATCGCGTTCCGGCCAGGCGGTTTCAGCAGATCTGAACACGTTGGCAAAGCCCGCGCCTTTCACACAAATCTGCCGGAGATAGGGTGCGAGCCAATGGTGACGGCGTACTCGGGCTCCAGAGGAGGGGGGGGGGGGGGGTAAACAGCTTAGAATGGGTGGCACTCGTCCTCCTGCAAGTTGCCAAGGAAGCAGACATATCCTGTTGCCCCTCCAGGAATTTCAGAATGCTCGTCGTGCCGACAGGAGGCCTGTGACGAATGATGCGGAGCACTTCATCAATTCAAAAGAAGGGCACTTACTAACGAACCCTTTTTTAATAACCGTTCCTGTAAATATTCATATGCCACACGTCGCTGTTTTTTCTGTCGATCACATTGACAAAACAGAGCACAGATAAAGGTGGTTCCCGCTGCCATTCATACATTCTGGCTCACCACAACATTGCATAGTCTTGGTGAAGAGGTCCAGGACTGGCCTGCATTATTCCTTGCTCGTGCCACGGGACGCCTCACAACGCCACCGGATAAACTGCCCTGCTGGTTCGTCGATTAGGAAGTCTACTTCCGTCTTGGTGGCTCACTTACTGTCGTCTTTCTAAGGTGAAAGCATCGAGAGGCCCGATCATGCAGGCCCAGAGCTGATTGATGCGGACTGCCATGCGGCCGATAGGCACATCTAAATAAAGGCTACTAAATAAAATCAAACAGTTGTTTGCACCAGGTGGCCGTCTCAGTCGTTGTGAGCCTTCTCCAGGACCTTTGAGGGTTTCGTAGACGCGGAAAAGGCGTCCATGATCTCGATGCCAGCCGTGTAAATGAACAAAAAAATCCAGATCCCCAGACATCTTGTGGCAAAAGGCAAAAGCATCGGTCCACAACAAAAACTTAAAAGACAGTCGAATGCAAAAAGGCAAAAAACCAAAAAGTCCAAAGGACAATAAGTAAATGGCCAAAAGTGAAACGGATGAATGTCGAATTCAAAAGGCCAGAGAGACAAAAAGTCGAAAGCAATACAAGTCAGATCGATAAAAGTCAAAGACAAAAGTCAAAGGGATAAGATTCGAACGGATAGAAGTCGGAAAAGACGAAAGCCGAAATCAAGATTTAAATGCACGAAAAGTCAAAAGAGACAAAAGTTATATGGACACAGCAAAACAATCTATCAAAGAAGCACATTCCTGCCTTACACATGGTTCCAAAGTCACCGAAAGTCGCTGGTCAGGTGTTCATCGGTGGGGGGTAAGCTAAGGAGGAAAGAGTTGAGGCCCGCCCCGCTCAGCCAGTTGGAATAATCCGTTTATCGGCGCCATGATAGCGCGGAAGGAGCATATGTCGGGTCTTAGCTTTGGATCGTAAAGGGGAGCTCTCAGGTGATGTAATAAGATCTTTACAGGTGGCTTCGGGCCCTCTAGACAAAATGAGAACTCCTCGCAAAAGGGCTTCCTGGACAAGGCTACCTAATGGGTCTCCTGAGCTTTGACGGGAAGAAAAAAACGAATCCACACAGCATTTGTATCGCCATTATTTTCTCCAACTCCTTAGAACTGTGCCCTCCTTCCCCGGTTTGGAGAAAATTTGTCTCAATTTTCTCGGTAATTTGGGGCTCTGGGGACGCATAGGTGACCATATTCCTTGGTTCATGGAGAACAATGAGAGAAAAAAGCAACTGTAGGCATAACGTACCTACTAAAAGTATTAGAATCTGCATACGCTACCTTGTAGTTTGTTAAACAGACATTTTTTGTGATGGAGCGGACCTAAGCCGCGAAAAGCAAACGCTCCTGTTAAAAGTGGTTCGATTCGTAATTGGTTACTGTGTAGCCACGCTTGGCCATGCTGTCCGATAAAACATTAACTATTTTGCAGCTGTGTGGGCAGACATTGAGATGGACTTCGCTACGTGGTTACCCATAAACTCCGCAAGCAGACGAATTTGGAATAGAGGCCTCAGTGTGCCTTTTTAGTAGGGTTCTGCATGCCTAAGTCATCTCGTCACGCCAGTCTCGCTTCTTGAACAGGGATGAGTCCGTTGCTGTGCCGGCTCATATTTGTCTGGTGTGCATTTTGCAAAACTGATCAAAGCTAAGCCTTTCCGTTCCAACCAATTCAAACCAAACAATTGGCGAAAAGGTGGCATGGCTGTTTCCCGCCCACACCAAAAAATAAACTTATGCGATTTTTTTCCTCAGGAGTAAGGCGGCATCTTGCAGTCCGTCCGGCGCTATTCTGAGATCCAAGCCCAAGTGTTTCCGGCTGGAGCATGTTTGGTGCAGTCGCTTTGTCTGGTTAGGGGATTTGGGGGTGAAGAAAAACGTGCACAATGGGCATGAACACGACAGGGACGTGCCGAACGCCGCATCCTTCCGTACATCCGCGCAGAGCCGGGAAGACGTCGGCTGTGCTGTCGGGGCGCGGATGTGCTAAAAACGCTTGGCATCGACCCTCAAGGCACCAGCTTTTCGACATCATGTGAAACAGGGTACACTATCGGAATGGATGACCAAACTCGAGCTTGTGATTTTTGCAACGTTGGTCTACATGCTGTCCATGTGTTCATGTTGTGAGTGTGTGAGTTCTCGTTCCAGTGACAGGATTGCTATTTTACTATGTTCTCTGACCACGGCGTGTCTAGGTGAAAAACCATAACGTGAATCTTGTGATAAATACACCGTCATCAGCTGTCCCAGGGACCTTACTGACTCGGCGCTACTGATGATCTACCCATTTGTCTTGGCTGTTCGTTGGCTGGTTATCTGACTGGATCAACTTGATCCCTGGCTGAATATATCTCTGGCTCTCAAAACGAGCAACGGGCTGAAGGCTGTTGGGGGATTTCGAGCCGATCGAAGGAGACCGGTATTGGTGAGAAGCGAGTGGATCATCCAGACCTGATGCCACCGAGACAGTGGATCATTCAGACCTGATGTCACCGAGACAGTGGATCATTCAGACCTGATGTCACCGAGACAGTGGATCATTCAGACCTGATGCCACCGAGACAGTGGATCATTCAGACCTGATGTCACCGAGACAGTGGATCATTCAGAACTGATGCCACTGAGACAGTGGATCATTCAGACCTGATGCCGCTGAGACATCTAACACCAAGGCTGCCAGCAGCTGGGCACGGTTAGGTGTCTCACAAAGATCAATCAGATCCCTGCAGTTGGTTGGTCCTAAACAACCTGTAGCCAAAAATGTGCTCGTATGCTTATTATCTAAGTCCTGGTTTAGACGACTCGTCTTGAGCTTTTAAAAAAGTGCGAGAAAGACAAGGCTCTTCCTCAAGCTTAAGGGTTCTAAGATGTCAAGCCGCTGAACAACACTGACCTCTAAACAACACTGGTGCCGAATTGAACAATGGTTGCATCTCTTCAGTTGTTCAATGCATTCACCAATGCTTTTGGTCATGCTTCTACTCCCGGGCCTCCACTGCTGATGCGGGCAGTGCTCTGCGTTCATAACGCTTGATACTCTCAGAAGTGTTCACTGAGTTCGCACTAAGTAAAGCTTGCTATTTGCGTCATGAAGCACCACACAAGCGCTGTCCCAGTTTAGCGGGTAATTTAGCGCCTGGTCTCTTCGCCATACAGCACTGCAGGGGGACCACGTTCGTGCCACAGCACGTAAGTGCGTGCCGCGATGACTGTTTCTGGCTGTTTGACTGCCGGCCAGTATGTATAGCTGGTAGCATGGTTAGTCTGTTTGCACGGTCGCACCGGGTTGGTGGCTTCCCTCTGGGCTGGAAACCGCAGCCTCTGGACTACCAGCGTCACCATCAGTCTCTGGACTACCAGCGTCACCACCATACCTCAGGGACGGCAGATACCGCAGCCTCTGGACTACCAGCGTCACCATCATACCTCAGGGACGGCAGATACCGCAGCCTCTGGACTACCAGCGTCCCCATCAGTCTCTGGACTACCAGCGTCCCCTTCATACCTCAGGGACGGCAGATACCACAGGCTCTGGACTACCAGCCTCCCCTTCATACCTTAGGGATGGCAGATACTGCAGCCTCTACACTACCAGCGTCTCCATCATACCTCAGGGATGGCAGGTACCGCAACCTCTGGACTACCAGCGTCACCACCATACCTCAGCGACGGCAGGTACCGCAACCTCTGGACTACCAGCGTCACCACCATACCTCAGGGACGGCAGATACCGCAGCCTCTGGACTACCAGCGTCACCATCATACCTCAGGGACGGCAGATACCGCAGCCTCTGGACTACCAGCGTCCCCATCAGTCTCTGGACTACCAGCGTCCCCTTCATACCTCAGGGACGGCAGATACCGCAGCCTCTGGACTACCAGCGT